GGCTGCAGAATCGAGCTTACGGTCCATTCTCGTCTCTTGCTTGCTTCCATTCCATGCAGGGTACGTGGTGGTACAACACCGTTAAATTCAGCAGTAACAAAGTCCTGCTGGATACGGTTCGCTACTTCCACTGTGCATTCATGCGCTCCCCGCGGATGTCAATGGTTCAAGTCATTGAGGTGCTGTCGAATGCCTATGAATTCAATCCGAACTTCAACAAAGAGGTGGTCAGCCGGCCCAGCGACAATGTCGAACTGCCTCCGGTATGTTTGTGTTACACCCAGCATTATTGGATGGCAGTCACACTGGCCTTTCGTGCTCCTTTTATTGTGCCGATGCACCTGACAAGCGCGTATTTCTCTTACCCCATCCATTTTGTTCGCCATCAGTTTTTCGTGTTCACCGCTGATACCTATATTTGGTTTATCGAAACTGCCCGTTTTTTTGTTTAGTGTAAAACCGTTAAAATAACAGTAGCCGCCATGTCGTAACAGTTAAAGAAGTGACCATGGACAGTCATCATTGCCTGGCCTCGAACCTGTGTCTAGGGGCTCACTTAATCCAATAGAATTACTCCACAAGCCGCAGTTCGCAAATAAAACTCTGCTTTTGTTTGACTAATGTGAAATGTGTAAAACATCGTGATAGCACGGATAAGTGCTTACTTGTCGGGAAGACGAACCGCGACATTAGACTCAGGTTTTGGCGCCATCAATTTTCCGTCCGATGAGCAATCAGTAGGCGATATCCACTTGCCAAGTGAGTTAACTATTTAGATTCCATTGTTGATCTGTACCTCCTGATTCGAGTCCGAACATACAACGCTGTTGAGTCGTAGCAATCGCGAATCAGCTATTCCCTACCTGGCTAGCATTGAGTGAGAAGAATATCTCCCAACATGTGGGATTTTTTTTCTGGAGATGTGGCTGATGCAGGAGAAATACTTCTAACGTTGTTTCTGTTTTTGTCCTCACCCTGCTTTCTGTCCTAATTTATACGTGGCTCGGTTTAACCCCAAGTCGTTTCCCTTCGTCGGTCCACCCTTTAGCTCATCAAGGATATCCCCATATTCACCATCTTCAAGAAGTCCATCTTTGGATCTCCAAGTTCAGTGAAAGCGAGGGCCTTGATTTATGCACATCTGCTTCGTCTGAACTTGAAACCGGAGACGTTGCACCCAGGCAGGTTGCTCTGATCCGTTCACTATTCCGGTCCTATTTGCTGTTACCGTTTTAAGTACACCTTTGTCGTTGCGAGGTTTCAGTTGTGGCTCAAAGATTAGGGATATACCTCTGAAAAGTCCGTATTAGAAAAGAACTTAATCTAACCGGTCAAGTGAAAATGTTTTTCGGATTTTTGGGAGAGAACATCACCATTAACGAATTCTGTGACACCCTACTCGTCAGTATGCTCACCCACAGAACGGCCAGACCAATAAATCGCTTTCGCGACCGAGACTTTGTCATATCGACGCCGCTGCTCCATGTTTGTCATGGAATGAAGTGAGGAAGGGTAAACGCTCTTACTCTAGAGCATCCGCTTTCTCATCTAAATCTTGTTGCTACGTGAGCCGTCATTGGACTCAAGTAGAACACCGATGTTCCAGTGAATAACCTTCATTTCTAGGCTGAAAAAGAAAGTTCGGTTGACAAACCGATAATGTCCTTATGAATAGTAAATCGCATACCTTTATTAGCTAACGGAAACAATAAATGTTGTGAGTTTGTGGGTGTTGCGTCACTCTTCATCGTTTGCAGCCGTTTTGAAGAGCAATGCCCTCATCACAGGGTCTAAATTTATTGGCAAACAACCAAGTGGAGTACTTTCAAACAGCGTGTTCCGGTCTAATTGACCACACTCCGTAATATTATGTTTTCACAGAGCATTATGTGCTATTGATTGGATATAATCAATGTCTTTACCTTTTGACCAAAATGTAGCGAGTTATTTACTTATGTTTGCATTGAAACGCTGTGGTCACGTGGCAAAAATGGTTGCCTTTGATTTCAGCCTCTGTCCCTCATCTGTTCGACACTATCAGGTTCTGAATGCGACCACGTGTGATTTTGGTACAGATTCACACACTGCATGTGTTCTCTGTGTACTACGGTATCTTTTTTACACATGGCATGAGAAATATCTGATGAATGAAAGTCGTCCTAATTGTTGTGTCTTAGTGAGTCGAAACGACTCACAGCTTATCGATCATACTTATCGGATACCGTCGGCAGATGTGTGTAACTTTTGGCCAAATGATCGTCCGACTGGTCTCCATAATTCCAGCTACTGAACCCTTGTTGAGCTTGAAAAATCACATGTGTAACCGATGTTCTTCTACTTTAGTTGCAATTCAGTTGGTAAAAGCATTCAGCCTATGCAACCTAACCGCCCCGTAGTCAACCTATCCGCATCATGTACATTATGATGTCGGCACTTGTCAATTCTGGGCAATGAGAATCGTTTAAAGTCGACGTGTTCGGTTGCAAAAAGGCTGTTTCCTCGTCAATTCCATCCGAATACTGATCTTATTCACTGATTCTTGTGCGTGTCCCAACTCATCTTCTTCCCTCCCCCCGGCAATGCAGATCGACAGTACATCGTGAAAAACTGCCCGCGGTTGATCGAAGAAATGATGAACCGGTTGATGTCAGTATTGGCAATTGCTATGGAAGAGGGTGAGTTCGGTATTGTTTTTCACTAAGTGTGTTAACATGATCTCATAAAATTTGCACATAACCGTGAGTCGTCTCAAAGCTTCACAGTAAAGTCCTCCACGATGGACCACATCGATTTACGGGTTCAGTCTCTCAAATAAAGGGAGAAGCTGACCGAAGCTAACGATGCCCGCAGTCGGCCAACGCACTGATCGACTGGCACCATAGTTAGAAGCATCCTCCACGATGGACCACATCGATTTACGGATTCAGTCTCTCAAATAAAGGGAGAAAGCTTACCAAAGCTAACGATGTCCGCAGTCGGCTAACGCACCGATCGGCTGGCACCATAGTTAGAAGTGCAGCTACCTGCGTTTGTGCGTGCCATGCAAGCTTGGGCTGGTCTACAAAATAAAACTTAAAAAATAATCTTTCAGCTGTGGCACCCTTTCGGTGCCTAACTGCCATGCAACCATAAGGAAGCTCGAGGGCTGGGATACTGCCAGGTTACCCAAGCCTAGACAGGGGAAGTCGAGAGGCAGAAGTTCGAACCATGGACCTTCCAGTCAGTAAATTCGCGCTCCAATCATTGAGCCATCTCGCCCCGGGCTAGTCTACTACTCACAGTATCAATTGCGTTTGTGCACTTGCCTATCGGTCTGTTGTCTGAAACTCGCTGTCTCTTTCTGCGTAGTGCCATATGTCTACACTCGCACATCTAACACAGAAGTTTCGTTCAAGCACTTTGGCATCCTTTCAGCAAAAAAAAGCAGACTTTCGGGATGTGGAGCAAGCAATCTGGATTTCAACCTTTGGTTGTGAAATCCTCATAGAACCACCCTGGATAGACACTGAGAATAAACAAGTTTTCGTCCACATCGCACACATCCCATCGTATGCTCTAAGTGCAGTATTGAGTAAATACAGGTTTGCGTGCGGGTCAATTTCTTCTATACCATGTTTCCTCCGTTTTATGCGGTCGCTTGTGTGTGACAAACTAGTTTTCATGGCAGAAGTAACTCCAAATAACGCAAAGCTGATTGTTTGTAGTGAAGGCTTGTCGCGAGAGTGGTGCACATCAACTGCCTTTCTACCAGCAACTGTCCTGTCCACCCCGACGTTTACTTTTTGTTCCATTCGTTATTCTGTTATGTAAGCGCCTGGGGGAGACAGCGTTGAAAGCGAACCTGTTCAGCATTCACGGTTATTTCTGAATATCCGCTCACGAGATAATACAATGTGACCATCTGATTTCCTACTTGTATAGTTTGTGGCCATTGTGATTCCACTTCCACTCTAGGTGTCATGTCACCTCTGCATCATTTCACAGTACACACTGAACGTTTTCGAATCATCCTTCCACTTTATGTTCCGTGAAATATGCTGCAGTTCAATTTTACTCTTCCGTGAATGTGATCCTGCTACAGCCACTACACTATACTCAATTTCCAATTAGGAGAAGTTCGTACCAATTATATTGTTCCAAGCCAGATATTCCAGAGGGATTCTCAAGATTCACTGGCTATTCGGTTGGATTCTGTGCGCAGCTGCCTACTTTTTAATCTTCCTGTCATGTCCCAGAGGTTTGCCTGATTCGTTCTAATTCCGCATTCGCTAAAATTTATGTATTAGTAGCCAATGCTCAAATCTAGGGATAGATCAACCAGGTGGTATTCTTCAATCGAACTGAGTCATTCATCCACATATTGCCGCAGTATACACCTACGTCACATGCATCACGTAAATACCGCAAGCAACTTCCAAACCACTCAGTGTCGATCCTGTGAACACTACTCATGACTTAATGGGCATTTGCAGGTTTCTGATAGTGTTGTTTTTGGCTGTCCTTTTCAGGGTTGCGCCTTTTTCTGCCGCTGAGTACATCGGTCATAATCTTCGGTTGCCCTAGCCTGTTTTTTTCAAGTGTTAACAGGAAGCTGGTGGTTCCCTCATCATCGACCGCGTGACAAGATGGTTTTATGAAAGTTCGTTTACGGTGTTTTTTTCCTGGATGTGAGCGGGGGAGTTTTTGAAGACGATGCTGGTGGTAGTGGTGATGACGGCAGCAGTTACACTGTTGATTGTTCAAGGGAACCGAAGGAGCAAGCGAGGTCGCGAATCCTGTATGATTGGTTGGAAAACTTTAATTTCGCATCCGGGCGGGCAACTGCCGGACCCTACACTTAAGGCGCATGAAACTACTTTCAGTGAAGCATATTGCAGGCTAGTCCCGAACTTGGAGAGCTTACATTGGCAACATGGAGACACGAGGACTCGAAAGTATAATAACAATGTGGTGTTCAATCTGTTTAACAAGATTCGAGCAGGGTTCGATCCGGAACTCTGAAGGTAACATTGAATCAGGCTATCTTCACCTACACAGTCACCAATGTCACAGTTCTTGAACTTTCGGAGTGCGTACACTTCACTTGACTACAGTGTAAAACTTCGTGAAAGTCGAAACCATAAGTAACTCTGACCAACGATGGTTTCACATGACAGGTGACTCCTCAGTCGCACTTCATCTGATTGAAACTATTACTCGGAACTGATAGCGCAATGGGAATCCCGGCTTACCGATCCTGAAAGCAAACCAGTGCAATTTCTTGTCGTAGGCACCTGAGGAAACCTTACGAACTACAAATTTTATTTAGTACCGTAAATCGCACGACTGCTGAAGAATATGCGTTGATTTCTGTTGTGTTTTACTGTGGCATACTTGAGGTTCTTATCAGATTTACTTTACCTTGATGTTTGATCTCAGCTGACTGTATCACTCTCTCTTGTGTACCAGGTTATCTGATCGAAACGGGCAATTATTCACCTTCCTGTTTTACTTTTACTTTTGCAGCCGGTTCTCGTTTGAAAACCCCGCCCTATTTGCACACCATCGAGAACTGTATGCATTTGGTTCCCATGCTCATCCAAGCTGTTCCACCCTGTGCGTCTCCGCTTCTCCAACTTCCCCATCTCACACAGACACAGCTACGCCATATGGAAGCTAAACAAGTAAGTCCGCCGCCTACCGGTTCTCAGCACATTGATTGGTCTCCACTGTGTTTACCTGGTTGTTGATGTGTGCAAATTCTGTCTGGCTACTTCATGGGAAGTCCAACACAGTTTCGGGAGCACTCCTGATATGTTATTACATTTTTAATGTAGCCTAACCCATAGACCTTCCTTGGGCGTCATTATACGCTAGTCTAAAAAGTAGTATCCATAAGAGACCAGGTTTGTGCCGGTTATCTCAGTGCATCGGTGGTCACCGAATGTACTTGTGAATATTGCAGTGCCTGTCCTCATCGCACAGCCTATTTGGTCGCGTTAGATGGTAAACAAACGGATCGTTTAATCCGGTGCACTCCAAACACTGATTCGTAGATTACCTCTTAACACATACAGAGGCTTTGTAGGTGTTGCCCGGCTTCCAGGATGGGATCCCCGTGACCCCGTCTGTGCTTGGCTGGAGACGTTGCAAAAAATGGCGGGTAATCGATGTCAGTGGCGTTCGTGCTGCCAGTTTCTTTCCAGCGTCGACGTTAGCCGTGAGCCTCACAGGTACTCTCAGGCTACCCTAAGTTGAGGTCCCCGTGGATCCCTCCGTGCTTGGCTGGAGACGTAAGAAGAGATGGCTGCTAATCGATGTCAGTGGCGTTCGTGCTGCCAGTTTCTTTCCAGATTGTCTGACTGAGCGGTTGGAGGTGTAGGCACCTCAGTATGCTTGACATAGGCCAGCACTAGTTCCCCTCCCTCGCCCACTTTTCTCTTCACTGTATATATATATATATATATAATAACTAGACGAACCTTATGGTTGGACGGCAGTGAAGCATCAGTGGCAACACTGATGTTGCTGTCTTTGATGATGATGATGATGATCTTAACACCTGCGCTGTCTTGATTAGAGTCCCCAGTCTTTCTGGCCGGCTCAGAAACCTGACAGCCATGGTTGACGCAACCATACTTTCACGGAACAGGTTGCCTAAATCTGTTAACTGTCCATCGATCGGCCTTGAGATACTTTGAGAGTATCGTATGTATACCTCCAGTGTAGCGTAAAAAGTCTTGCAGGTGAGTAGGCCATCAGGCCAGAGTGAAACCAATCTGACTTATATAACCGAGGAATTCTTACTTCCTACGCCGCCATGCTGAAAATCCATTTTCTCTAAGATCAGATTACGTAATGTTCCGTATTTTGCCCTGCCACATACTACTTATTTCACTCGCGTCGTTTCTTACCTAGCGCAACCTGAAAACTATACGTCAATTCGTCCGGCTCCCCGAGGACAAACGACGGAATCTTTTACGTAATCTATCCGACGAAGAGTATCGCGATGTGTTGAATGTATGTGCCTCCATGCCATCGTTGGAAATCTCCTATCGCTGCGAAGTAAGTAGTCATGTACCGTCACCTTTTATTTCATTATGTGGCGCAATTGGTGTTGAGTGCTGTGGATCCTAAGCAAAACGCGAAATGTTGCCTCCAGTCCGGATGACGAGAGCCCTCAGTATATTTTCATTCTTATGTAACTACTTTCAGGTTGTAAGTAGCTAGGGAGCATCCACATTTATTACTCGCATACTCAACGATGGTCCGGAAGACCAGGGCGACGAATGACCGTAGTCAAACCACACGCCACTTGGTTTTTGGAAGTGTCAATAATGTGTGATACAATCCCGTTCTTTACTGCTGCTGAACAACAGTAGGAGGAGGATACTCAAGGAATATTTAATTCATTACGACACCTGCCAGCTTGTAGAAACGATTGCTATGGTATCAGCAATGGAAAGCTGTTACTACATGATGGTGAGACAAGCGAATCAGAGAACCCGAGCGAAATACGTAATTTCGTCAAACCATGATATGTCTAGCTGTGATATTTCCAGAAAATTTGTGGTTAAGTAAGACATCGTGGGGTTACCTTAACTGGGAAATGAAGCACGAGATAGTCGAGTGTCTAGAGCGCTAATTTACTGACCGTAAGGTCCGTGGTTCGAACCCAACCTCTGCATCTCGACTGCTCCTGCCTAGATAGCCTGACAAAATCCCAGCTCTCGTGCTTCCTTCGGGTGAAGTGGCATTAAGGCGCCGAAAGTGTGGTACAGCTGAGCGGTTATTATTATTATTATTATTTTGACGTGGAACGTGGAAATCAGAGCCTTCAAAATTCTCTTATTGTTTGAGCTCACATCATATATTTTCTTGGAATATCAGTGAGCCAGGCTTACGGTGCTTATGGGTGACCTCTTTCTTAGGTTCCCTTTACCATATGACCATAAGCAAGCTAACAGCCAAGTGGCTCAGGAATGAAAGGTCCAGTATTGGGGACCTTGGTTGGAGCGTTGGCCCCACAAAGTCCAGACTGATAACCCAGCTTTTCCGAATGTGACGAAGTTCTGGCAGACCTTCGACCAGTCAGTTTTATAGAGTGGGGTCTAACTCAGACGTGAACACTGCTCCTCCGACAAACATCTCTTGTTTTTTTTTAGGTTCTGGACGATGATGATCCAAGCATATGGCCATTCAGTATAATTACGGCTACTATTCTGCTGAAGCGGTTTCCTTTATTCGACCCGAGTGCTCAACCAACTTCGAGCTCTAGCGCAATGGGATCCGGGTCCAGTGGGGCGATGGGTGGAGCCGCGATGGTTGGTGTCAGTGCTTTGTCCGACTCTCATTACTCTGGCACCGCCTGGTCTTCAGACTGGTCTGCCTACAATCCTTCTCCGAATTCACAGCTCTACCCGGCGGCGGATTTCAATGCAGACAATGGTTCGGTGACCTACGGAGACTTTGGGGAAGAGGTAGGTTTCTTCTTGGCGACGTTTAGAAGAATTTGAGAGATATAACACTGGATACTGGTAGGAAAATTTATGGTTCGAATTTGGCGCTAACTTTTCGGCTAGACTACTTTGCCATATAAAGACTTTTGGATTCCTCCTGAATTCAAAACCAACGTGATACATTTTGACTATTGTACACAATATGAGATTCCTTTTCGAGTTTTCTTTTTGGTCTGTGGATTTTGGGTGACTTCATTCACAGCCTAATCTTGCAACATGGCCTTTTTGATACACAAGTATTTTCGAGGCCGTTGTTGTTAGCAGTCCGTTTTCGGATTTCACCTTGATTTTGCTGAAGTCCGAAGCCATATCGTGTGAGAGTGACGCCATCTAACCTTTGCCACGTTCATTTGCATCTATTCTGATCGAAAACCTAAGGTTGCGGGATTTACGCATTTGACTGAACATCCCTCTCATTTTTAAAAAAATCTTCTTGGTTGTGAGAAGATCTGGAATTTCCTCACCTGTAGTTCCCTCCTCTAAGTGAAACCAGTCTATGTTGAAAAGTCGAGAACCACTGTACACGTGTTTCATCCCCATTGGGATTCATCAGCATTGCGCATATTATGAAACTCCAGGGAGATTCGAACTCAACCTCCTAAGTGGTAGTTAAACACGTAGAAGACTGCTTACAATGTGATTAACGTGCCCTTGGACAGAATGCAGAGACATTCATCCTTCAATCGTGCCCATCCTTCAAGTGGTCACCTGTTCACTGGCTCCTTGGGCAACGAATTCTCGTATGGAAGATTCAGTCGTCCTGTGAATTATTCTTCCTTCTGAACTACCCTTTTCTGATTGACCTATTTGAACCTGATGATATCCGTCGTCCCTCAGTATTGGAAACTCAAGGGCCCTTCACTCAGTTATTCGAATTTATGGATCAGCGGAACTTTAGATGGGTGCTGTTGGTGTTTGCCTGTTTATTCATTTGGGATCAATTATAAGACCACTGGATTAGACAGGGCAATTTGTTTCCGCTACTCAGCAAACCAACCGCAAGTTTGGTAATTGATCCGGTGGCTGTTGATCTGTTCGCCGAGCCCGACTTGCAGACGTTTCGTGGCCAACAACGTGCTGATGATGTCTTCTCGAATGGTGATGAAGCGTTTGCACGTCGATTGCTAAGCTTAGCGAACAGGTCAACAATCGCCTGTTCGGTACCAACGAGTGCAGCCGAGTTACCAATATTCAAACACTACCAAATCCAAGCTTCTCCACTTTCCCTGGTCATAGTTGAGTCGACTCACTCCGCCAAACAACTGAGCAATGTGAGCTAAACTAAGGCTCGAGTTTTCATCATAAATGTCTGTTTCAGGTACTTCTGTTCCCATCCAGAGGTAATCCGTTGACTAATTGAATAACTACAAAGGAAAAGGTGATCGCGAAGCCATTCGGTAGCATGCACCTTCTCTGCGGTTCGTTAAGGATGGAATTTAGACTTTTGGTTTGAACTGACAACTGTGACTGTCTGAGCCTTAGACTGTTCCCAGTGTGTGAACTTTTTACGAATCCGTAGAACATCATCGATCTCTGTGACAGCCTCAGACAACTTTGGTTCTGGCTCGTTTGATTCCGCGTGATTCTCCGCAGGAGAACATCGATGAGAGTAGATCTGTTTGGCCTCTTTGGAGTACCTCTGTCACGGTTGATGATGTGCGATGTTATAGAGCTATCTCTTGGAAGTTCCCTTGTGGCAATGTTTTACTGTGGGTTTACTGATGTTTTTTTAGCAGAGTCTCTTGGATAACATCGGTACATAACTTCCCCGTGAAGTGACGGGTTCGGGTCGTCAGACGGATTAACGGGAACCGGTGACAGAAATGGTTCATGAACCTCAATTCACATCCATCTATTGTGCTTGCCTTTCTCACCTTCAGGATGCAGGTGATTGCGCTACTTCCAAGTTACAAAAGCCCGCTACAAAGCCTGTGTGGGATAAAGGTAAGAAGAAGAAACCGACGAGAAAGAACAACAAGCAACGTAAACAAGAGCAGCGCCGGCAGCGGGGTGGGCAGCCCACTGTGAAAGGGACGGACAAGGGTGCTGGAAACAACAACCCAGTGGCTCAAGACGAGGAAACCAACTCCGAAATGGAGGAAGCTGATACTAACCCCGTGCTGGATGAAGGTATGTTCCGTACCCAACCGTTTTGCTAGCATCCGCGTCAACCATCGTTCCTTCACAGTCCTTATTCAAAACGCGTTTTCACATTCACCGGAATCTTCAGTTTTGGCTGCTGGTCCCCACGTCCTCATGGTCTTGTGGGAGTTACTTTTCACAGGGATTGACTAGACCCATGTTCTATGTGGGAGTTGGCTGAAACTTTAGTTAAAATTCCATTTTTCAAAGAAATATCTAGAACGTCACAAACAAAGGATTCAGCTGGGTTTTGGGTAAATTTCCGGTTAAAACCAAATCGGCATGCAGATGAGTGTATAAATAGATTATTATCAGTTTGTTTGAGTGTTAAGCATTCTACCACCTTTTTTCCTTACCGCATTGCCATCGGCATCTCCTTAGGCCTATTTTTATAAACTGACAGATTCACTCACCGCCAGTTGTCTTTGGCCGCAATAGCTAAGATTGACCCGATCGGCGTGACTGTAGGCACTTTGAGATCATTCTTTAGACCCTCACATACCTCGCCTGGAGAAGCTAATGTGAAATGAACCTACCAAAACCACCGGAGGTCCAATTCGGACAACACGTCCTGTGATGTTGACTCTTACTGGAAATGCTGTCCACGACCTTGCAAGACTTGCTTGGCAGTCCGCTTGCTGGACGGCGCAAATAGCTAGATCTCTGTGCACCGGATGTTGAGCTTGGACGTGTACTCCCGAGATTACAGTACAACTCGGTGGCTTTTCAGACGTCATATGAAAAGAGAGCTTCTGCGCGGATCTGTTTATACTGTCAACTCACGATGTTTGTGCTCGCCACCTTCAGGATAGGTTTAGTGTTTATTTCTATTCTATACAACTAGATACCCACACGCAGGAACTACGCAAAGTTGTATCACTTTCAGCTGAGGATAACAATGAAATGTTTATCCCTCTCCTCTCTTTCTCTATGACTTCTTTTGCTTAGGTTTTAATGTTTTGGACTCATTTTGCGTTGCTAAGCCCAAAAACGCCACATTCATCCGACCTACTTTTTAGCGGTTTAGTTTCTATTGTTTGACCAATGTCGACAATAAATCTATTCTACCTCAGTGCATAGTTTCTGATATTGTCTCGCTCTCAACACTGATCTGTATCCTATGAACTTCTCATCGTGCCTCTTCCTCGACTTCTCACATTTACAGTTGTCTAGATTACGTATTACTCTTTATGATCTCAGCTCCAGCCATTGTCATCGTCCGGTATCCGTAGTAGCTCGGTTTACACTGAACTTATAGGATCTGGTGAGGCTACGAGCTCACTCTACCGTTCCGTCTTTTATTTCACTTTAGACAAACCAGGTGACGCACTACTCACAAGGCGAAAGAACTCCGCCATGGGAGACCAGATGCCCAGCGATCTGAGTGCTTTTGGAGATCATAGGCAGGAAACCGAGCGAGATGGCGATGAACATGATAGTCTTGCGGATGGTCATCTACTGTCTAAATCGAACAACAACGTGGCAGCTCCCAGATTTACTCACTCCGCCGGCAAACAGACGACAGATCGTATGAATAAATCCTCTGAATCGAAGCCTTTACACTGTTCCCATGTGGTTCACTGTCCTTATTTCCCTATGGTAAGTGATAGCATCTTGTTGTCATCCTATCAGATCAATTACCCTAGCAGTCACAGCTTTTGTCGATTATTGGCCCACATGTTTGTGTTTCATCATTCGAGGCTATTCTTCCTGAGAGGAGAACACCAAAGCGAGCTCCGTATGCATTTGTTACCGGTTGCCTCTCAGAATGCAAACAATTTTCCCGGGATTGCTTGATTACACCTCTCACCAGCTGAATTAGCAACACCTTCCAGTAGCTGCTCGAAACCCGTAAGGGGCGGCGAAAAACTATTAGGCTACCCTAGTACCCTCAAAAGTGATTGAGACAGATTAGAACCACATATCATCATGTCAAGAGCTCAAGTCATGTCCAATTAATACACGTTCTCGGATGAGTAGCAGAGCGTTCAACTCCCGAGACGGTGGGTCTTTCGGGCTGACATTATGCCGCGAACTGCACTACCCATTAAATCTATTCGCGGTGATTGTTGCTTATTGATATTCCTTGTCTACTCAGCACTTGGTGAGCACATTAATCTCAAACCACACTATTTCGCTTCAGTATTTTCCCAGGCTGTAGCTTATTTTCAAGCCAGTTTGAGGCCTATGAATTTGCGGACCTTTATAAACTGGACTGTGTCACAATGAATCTACACATACCCATAATTTTCTGAGTTATGTGCTGAAATAAAGCATACCGGATATGGAGTAGTAGACTATCATTCTCGGTTCACTTTGATCTTTTATCACAGGAAAAGTTCGAGGGCTGGTGGATCTATGTTGTTGATCTAATGGATCGCAAGACACCCCGAATTATCACGAAACCGGTCTACGTGGCAACTTTACAAACGGAGGAAGAAGTGAGCAGCATTATTATCATCATCGTTTGTTATTACTACTGGTCCCTGGGAAAATTCATCCACCTGGAACGAGGATGAAGCTGTTTTCAGTAGTATGTGACGCCTTATGTCTATGTCCTGTATATCAATCAACTAACTTCCTAAGCGGTTGGTTGTACACATGTAAGGTGTGTTCCAAACCCACGACTTAGATTGGGACGCTAATTACTGAACGACCGCGTACGCCTACCTTTCCAACATAAAGCGTGACAGAATATATTGCCTATATAAATTCAATTGTTGTTCCTTGCCTAGTATCGACAGCACCCGGTGAATACTTTCCTCATGTATTCACTAAGAAATTGTTCATTATGAGCAAGTAATGGTCGCTACGACAATTACTGTGTTTATAGGGTAATCAACCTGTCCTGAGCATGGCTGAATCGATATCAGTTCGGCTCGGAATCGGTTCTGTCTGTAGGATTTGCACCAAGAAGCTGTACTGAGATTGTACTTTCGAGCCTTTGACCGAATCGGAGCTTATTGTGCATTCAGATAGGTAACCAGTGATTTTGTTTGTCCTCATACAGCCATTCTGCCTATTTCACTTAGCTAACTGTTCTGGCTGTTTTTTGAAGTATTCATGGTAATATTTCCATTACAACGCTTTCTTCGCTGACTGACTTCATTCGGGTAGCTATCCAAAGTTTGAGAGTATCCTTTAAGCCTTCCCAAAACCGTACTTGGGAGAACCATGTTTTTCTGACTGGTGCCTGGTGCAGCCACCAGGCAATCTACACGACACCAAAGTCACGAGTGAAATCATTTTTATGATAGTTTAATCTTTTCTGTTTCTCCATGTGTTAC